CCATGCCCTCCCCCCCGCCGCAGCATGCAGAGGCTCGTCGCACTCCTCAGGAGGGTGCGGGAGCGGCCGCCGCCCGGCAGCGCTCCCGCGCCCGGCGCCGCCGGGGCCTCTGAGCTCCGGGAGAAGGGCTGGGGCGAGCTGCACAGCGCGGCCGCCAGCGGTGACCTGGCCCGGCTGCGGCGGCGCTGGTGGTGGAAGAGGCTCCGCATCAACTGGCGGGACGCGAAGAAGCAGTAAGGGGCGGGCAGTGCCCGTAGCAAAGCCCCCACCCCCCCTGGCTGGAGGAGCCGGCGAAGCCCGGCACGGTCGCAGGCGCCCTCGGAGCAGGGCCGGCTCCACAGCGCTGGCCGTCCCGGCGGCCTGCCCAAGCTGGGCCAGGAGGCGGCGGATGCTCCGCTCCGCTCCGCTCTGCCCTGCTTTGCCCCGCTCTGCCAGCCTGGTCCCTGTCGTGACTCTTCGGTGGAGCTCAGCAGGCCTTCGTCCAAGCAGAGACGGCTCCTTTCCTGCCGCCAGACCGAGCGCCTTGCTTGGGCAGGGCACGGGTTGGCAGAAAGACGCGGCACAGCCTTCCCGTTGCTGTTAGAAATCCCATCCCCTCTGTCTCTGGGACACGTCTGGCACGGGACTGGTCGGGGGAAAACCCAGGGGCTTGCGCGGACCCCGCAGTCTCCGTAGACTTACGTAGCCTCCCTTGACTTCAGGCTGCCAAGACGCACGCGGTCTCCTTTGCTGTGCCGGGTGGCTGGGCAGTCCTGGAGGGAGGGACCAGTGCCTGGGCACAGGACTCTGCTTGTGCGGGTTCCTTGACGCAGCCGAGGAAATGCCTCCTGACTCAAGGCAGGCGTTGGGGATTTTGCGTAGCCAGCCCCAGGCTTTGGCTGTGCAACTGCTGCCACGGGCTCCGGAACGAGAAAGCTTGCTTTCGGCTTGTTTTTTGCTAGTTGAGGCTTACGGCCCCATGTGGCGGCTACCACAGACTGAAACGATGTCTTCAGCTGTCTGTCAGCGTTAACTGCGTTTATTTAATTTCTAGGACGCCTCTGCACCTTGCTTGTGCCAACGGCCACACCGATGTCGTTCGATTTCTAGTAGAAAAGAAGTGCCACCTAAATCCTCGGGACAGTTTTAAGAAATCGCCGCTGATGAAGGTACGTCGAAGAGGTCATGCTGTTGCCCATTGGGCTTACTGATTGTGCGCTGAGCGACACATACCTCGCACAATTCTTTACGTAGGCCTGCGTAGAAACAGGCGTGTTGTAGTCAGCGGGGAAGGGGCGTGTGTCGCCTCATCTTTGAAGATGCTCACACGTTCCAGCGTTGGGAAGATGCGGGAGTTCTGACAGAGAGAAGCGTAGATGTTGGAAGTTATTCCTCCTTTGTGTCGTGTTTCCAGGCAGTAGAGCACCAGCACAAAGACTGTGCGACTCTTCTGCTGGAGCACGGTGCCAACCCTGACCTCAGAGCTGCTGGCGGCAACACTGCCCTTCACCTGGCTGCCATCATTCATAGCAAATCTCTAGCAGAGCTGTTACTTGAGCACAATGCCCATATTGATGCTCAGAATGAGGTAAGTGTGGACTTTGGGCAAGGCTCCTCTGCCCAAAACTTGCTTGACTTTTCTGTGCGATTGTAAGGGAGATGATTTCTCCTTTCAGCTGGGATACACTCCGCTTACTCTTGCCATCACCGAGCACTGTGAAGAGATGGTCGAGTTCCTTCTTCAAAAAGGAGCTGACGTGCACGCTCGAGATAACCATGAAAGGTAGAAGGGTTTGTCAAAAGTGCGTGTGGGACTCCTTAGCGTTGTTCAGGTTGGACTGATGGGAGGCATAGGAACGAGCTTTGAAAAGGAACCAGGAGCTGCCCAGATGGAGCTCCTTCTGTGTGACTTGTGAAAGCAGGCGCGCACTCGGCTGCTCTCTTACCTCAGGGGATGATTTCCGCACTGAGGACCGCAAGAAAGCGTTGGCTGTGGTGCCACATGCGCGCGCGTGTACGCACCCACACCCGCACCCCGCCAAGTCTGCTCTGGGCGGGTGGCTGGCCTGGAGACCTCCTGAGGTCCCACCAACCTGAATTCCCCAATGCTTCCGTGCGCTTGGCTGTGCTTTCACTCTGCGTGCAGGAGAGGGGAAAGGAATTGTTTGGGGAGCAAAGAGGGACTGAAGTAATGGCAATGCAATGTCTGCAGCAGCTGATGTATTTCCTATCGTCTCTTGGATGATTTAGGACCACTCTGATGTTTGCTGCTCTTGCTGGGGATATGAACATAACACGACTTCTTCTTCGGCATGGTGCTGATATTTCTCATGAAGACAGGTTTGGCCACACAGCTATGCATTATGCCAGTACCTCTGCACGCTCTGAGTAAGTGATTCACGTCCTCGTTACAGCAGTTGCACTGTCAGAATATCCGTGCTGATGTATGGCCCTTTTTGGTAACTTCCCGGGGGTTTAATGAGGGGTCGAGACCTTTGTTGAAGCTGGGCTCAGTGACGTCTTCCGATGCATCTCTTTCTGCGTCCAGAGTGGATTTGGAAGCTGAGAAAAACTTCCCCCCACAGCTCTCTCCGACAATTCACCTGTGTGCTCTCAAGCTCCACTCAACTCAACTGACTAGCAACTCCCTGCCTTTTGTTTCAGAGGGGATCTAACTGCTATCCCCCGAGTTAAACTCTGCAGCGGTTTTCCTCCTCTCATGGGTAGCTTTGCACCCCTGGCTGTTCCTTCGCTAAGACGACTGTGTGTGCTTAACAGCTAGGCTGAAGGAAATAGCCCTCTTGCCTAGTCATGGTAGCCTAGTGATGGGGGAATGAACTGCATTATGCCTTGTCTAGCCATAAACAACTGCCCGTGACTGCTTGTCACTGGATCTCAACACTGGATTTCTTCTCCCTCTGCCCCTTCTGTCAGCCTCTATTCATGGGAAGCAGGAGAGAAGGATGCTTGGGTAAATCGTGGAGTAAAATCCCCTTTAGGAATAAAGCATGTTGGAAGATGGCTCTAGCAACACAACATGTTCATTCCTTCCCTCCAGGCCTCTGGCACAGTATCAATGTTGCGCTAATGCACCGTTTTGCATAGCAGCCTTGGTCTGGAGCACGTCTTTAACATTTTCTCTTCTCGTTTGTTTGGGCTTTTTTGTTTTGTTTGTAGTTCTGCTTATGAAGCAAACCTGAAAGTGATCTCTCTCCTGAGACCCAACTGACCCTCCGGCAGGGCTGGTAGAAGAGAACACCTATACAATGTAGTTAACCCGTGCAGTGCTTGGAATGCAACCGCAACCTTTGTTGGCCTCTTGATATCCCCCTTAGGAGCTCTCTAAACTCTCAGGTCCTCAGACTAACCATGGGAATTTCTGAAGCCTTTCCAAGTCAGGACTGGCTTTGAGGAGATGTTGCCCTGGCTTGACGTGAAGACTTGCTACAGCATTAGTATAGCGTCCCAGTGAGGTAGAAGCTTTGTAGTTAGACGGCAGTCTGCCAGGGAGCTTGTTAATCTCGCTGGCCCTCAAAATGGAGAGGCTGATTATCAGAGGAGACTGTAGCCAGCAGGGGGGAGTTACTCCATAGACAAGAATAGGCACCTCTAGTGGGAACAAGCCTGTAGCGAGTATATCAGTCTCCACTCCTCTAGTAGTGCAGTAAGTCGTGTGTGTGTGTGTGTTACCCTTTACCAGCTGGCTATGAATATGGTACGATGGCTCATGAATGGCTGTTGCTCTTCCAGCAGAGAGCGTATGCAAGTGTGGAGGGATTTTTACGGAATGCTTTTCCTTCCTTTCCGCATATAGTATTGCTAAACAACTGGAGGAATACGTGGGCTGTGAAAGGATGGGAGAGAGTTCTGCGGGAGGCACAGAAGGCGCAACAGTACTTGACAGCTCTTGCTCTGGGACACCTGCTGACTTTCCCTGGGGCACACCTACACTGACCGGAGCAGGTAGGATCCTTCACCGCATAGGAGGTGATAAGGACAAATGCCTGTGGCCTGAAGGAGAGCGACAACCTGTCAGTTGGACACAGGGCTTCAGAGACTGGGAAGGGCAGAGTAAAATAAGGCACTCATGGCAGCGTCATGCTTCTTTCCTCCTCTGTAGGTGTCTTCCCGGCAGCAGAGCAAGAGGAAGATGACAACTCCCCTTTTGATTCTGAGGTAGAGTCATAGAATCACAGAATCATTGGCCTTGGGAAAGACCCTCAAGATCTTGGAGTCCAACCGTAAACCTCAGACTGCCAAGTCCACCCCTAAACAGTATCCCTAAGCGCCGCGCCTACACGTCTTCTAAATCCCTCCGGGGTGGGGCCTCAACCACTTCCCTGGGCAGCCTGTTCCAGCGCTTGATAGCCCTGTCAGTGAAGAAAGTTTTCCTAATATCCAATCTAAACCTGTTCCTGATACAAGCCAGGATGCTATTGGCCTTCTTGGCCACCTGGGCAC